GGACAACAGGGAGGCAGGGAGGACAACAGGGAGGCCAGGAGGACAACCTGGAGGCCGGGAGGACAACAGGGAGGCCAGGAGGACAACCTGGAGGCCAGGAGGACAACAGGGAGGCCGGGAGGACGGCCGGGAGGACAACCTGGAGGCAGGGAGGACAACAGGGAGGCAAGGAGGACAACCTGGAGGCAAGGCTCTCTAGCAGCAGAAAGATTGTGACTCACTTAGGACTCAGGTGATTGTTAACATTTTTAACAGTAAAGTATTTTTACATTAAGGAATTTACAGTATCTCTTTTTTAGGCTTAATACTATTACCCTCTTCACTCTACAGTGTAGTGTAAACATAACTGGAAACCAGACAATGTGGCTCATTTTATTTTAATAGTCACTTTATTGCAGTGCTTTGAAATTGAACCTGTAGTATCTCTGAGGTATGTCTGTATGTTGCCTTATATTTCAAAATACAAAAACAAAGCTTCAGAATACAGCAGGAATAAAAAAGTGGGTTTAGTTCCATAATTTAGAACTCTGGAGCAGTAATTTTAAGAATTAAGAGGGCCCTGAGACCAAGGAATTTAAGAATGGTTGCTTGAGTTAAGTGGCTGAGCTTATCTTACATAGAGCATGTGAATGTCCTTTTTTCAGTTCCTGCCAAGGCTGCATTATGAGTGTTGTAGTTGCAGTTTGACATTGTAAAGGGCATGTGCGGTCTTAACGTATTTTGGTAAAAAGCTCAGATGAAAGCCTTATACAAGTGCCTAGAAGAATTTGGAGAAATACTGTACTCTTAACTCTTTGGTTGATTTGAACTCATGAAACACTACAGCTTTAGTGTTTTAAAATCAGTGTTGTTTCCTTTAATCCAACCTGTTCTTTTCTCATTACAGGGCCACAACACACAGTGATCTTGTTCTGAGAGCAACAAAGCTGGGAATCCCTTACCGTGTCATTCACAATGCCTCCATAATGAATGCCGTAGGTTGCTGTGGTTTACAGGTAAGCTTTTCAATGGAATTAAGCCAAAATGTTTTATTTTTCTACAGATTGATAGTAGATTTTATTGTATTTCGTGAATTAGAAAATATGCTGTTATTTCATACTGGACGACTTAGTGTGTACTCATTAAATTATTTATATTAGATTTCCTTGTAACTTTTCCCCCCTCATTGAAATAGGCCACTTCAGTTTAGCTGGAGAATGATCTTAATCTTATATCCAGCTTACATACATAAAAAGAAAAATGTAAGCTAATTAAATTGGTTAAATATTCCCCCAGTCTTTTTACATTCTTCCAAATGATTCCTTAGCACTGTTGAGGGCATGTTTTCCCACACAGTACTATTTTCTGTGCTGTAAAGAGCACTGTGATGCTACGTTTCTTGAAAGAATCAGTGCAAGAAGGGAAAGCCAGTGATAGTAGACTTTCAAGCCAGCTTTGCAGTTATCGGTGTGTCAAGTTAGTTATTTTTATATCTTGGTTCTGAGGAGTTTAGAGAGTTCCGTGTCTGTGTCCAGGTTTCCTTTCAGCCCGCTTACTTCTGTATTCCAAGCTTGGGGTCTGTTTTCTGACGTTCACACGTCTGTAATCCCTGACAGCTGTGACTGCCGCCTGACCGGCCGTGATTTTAAGATTTCAGTGATTGTTAAGATTCATTTCTATTTCAGATACATTAAAATAGGAAAATATTAATGTGCGTCTTAGAATCCGTGAAATGAAGTATTCCCCAGTGTGTCTTCCTGAAATGCATAATTTAAAAACAGATACTTAGAAGAAGATACCTGAGCATCAGGTACAGGTTTTATCTGTGTAGATTTAGAGGGGTCTATACTTTCTGCCCGACCTGAGAAGAATAACTCAGTTTAATTGACATACTGGCCATTTATCTCATAATACTGCCTCTGGTTGTGAAGATTAGAGAAAAAGTATAAATGATTTACCTTTCAATATTCACCACTTGCTTTTAGTTACTACGTTTAATGTGCCATAGAATTTTGAAATTTTTTTCTCTTTTTGAGATAGAGTCTCACTTGGTTGCCCAGGCTAGAGTTTTGTGGTGTCAGCCTAGCTCACGTCAAGCTCAAACTCCTGAGTTCAACCAGTCCTCCTACCTCAGTCTCCCCGGTAGCCGGGACTACAGACGCCCACCAAACACCCAGCTCATTTTTCCTATTTTTAGTAGAGACAAGGTCTCACTTTGTTTCTCAGGCTGGTCTGGAGCTCCTGAGCTCAAGGGGGCCAGCCAGAGGGTCAGGATTATAGGTGTGAGGCACTGTGCCCTGCCTGCAATTTTTTTTTACATTTGATCTAATATGCATAATCAAAAGAAGTTGCCAATTCAAGTCTTTTTTTACAGCAGAAAACCCTTTTGAACGCTTCTGTGTTGCAGTAAGTGGAATGCTCTTCACAGAACTGTAAGATGTCAGTGTTGGAAAGAATGCTAAGGATGCAGGAATGATGCCAAGGCACGTTCCCATGATCACCTGCACAGGTCGTGTCAAACACAGTTAAAACTCTTGATGCCAAGGCCAGTATTCTTCCCATTAGACAGTGTACCCTGTAAGAAAGGATTATTGCTGGAAGGAAAAAAGAGGGGAATAAACTACTTTGTGACAGATAAATATATATAAGCCTTAAACTAAGGGAACACATCTTTTTCATATTTCTTATAGTTTTATGTCTTGTGAGGAAAATTAGCCCTATCTCCATCCCATTTTGCTCTAAATTGTAGTTGCTCACATTTAAAATTGTTTTGCTTTTCTTTTAAGCATAAAAATAAAACATATCCCATGTAAATCTGTTACATAGACTGGCTAGAAAGAACCAAACCTGGGTGACCCTGTCCTTCTGATCCTCCACCCTGGTAGATAAAGTAGAATTTTTCTCCTATCTAAAATGTATGTAGGTATTAGAAAGAGAGTCTACTGTGACAATCAGCAGTCTCCACATAAGCCCCTAAGGTGACATCCATATTTAATGTATTATTTGTCAAAAGATTTGACTTTCTCATCATTGTGTGTGGGATTTCTCTAAGGAGCCACCAACAGTTTCCTCCAGCTTAGTTTTATTATCTAATCTGGATGTGAACTGACTTACTAGTGTGAAAAACGGGATGAAATTCTTAGGATGGTATATTCCTGTACCACACCTTATTCATAGACCAAGAGAAAGAGGTAACTATTGATTCATTTTGTATAGTTTTCTGATGTAAAAAGCTTTTAAAATAGTTAAATTCATAGCACACTTAAATTTTAAAATAAATGTATAGCCATCCTGCATAATGCAGACACTTCTGCTGAGTCCCCTGTAACAGCTGGCTTTGCTCCCTTTACCATTTGGTTCAGTATTTATGGAAGAAACAATGTAGTGGTTCTCAGATTTTAGGATTCATCAAGAGCACCTGGAGGGCTTAGCCGGCAGCTTGCTGGGCCTGACCCTCAGAGTTTCTGATAGAGCCGAGCTGGGATGAGTCTGTGAATTTCTATTTCTAACAAATTCTCAGGTGATGCTGAAACTGCTGGTTCAGGTACCACACTTTGAGAACCACAAACTTAGACACAAAAAACTTAGAAAGTGAAAAAAACTGTGAGATCTTTCTTTTAACATGGCAGGATTGGAAGACTAGATTTAAATTTTCAAAATACCCTTGCTAAATGTAGCGTGGTGTAGAATGTTAGCAGCTTACCTTGCCATGCCCTCTTGCACAATTTTTGAAAAGGGAAGTGGGCACCAGTTTTGAAAGGCATTCTGTCATCTGAAAGAGCTTTCTCATGAGTTCAAAAACAGCCTTGAATTACTAACAGAGGTGCCACAGACACTGTGACAGACCTGAGCAGCGTGTGCTTTCTAATATCTCTGCCTTAGCAGTAGGAAATTCCTAACCTAGAAATGGTCACAAACTTTCAAGCTGTCATTTTACCAGCCCTTTGTGCTATCCTATTGCTTTTGTTGTTTCCAAAAACAACAACAGCATAGAGAGTTCAGAATCAACCACTGAGTATTTTTCATTAACTTTGTACTTTATTGGCCAACAGAAGATTCTTGTTTATCAGTATGAATGAATAGTAAATAGTTGCTTGACTATCTAATCTGTATGTAGCCAGTTGATGCCATTCTGTTATAAGCATGCCATATATTACAATTGGTTTCCACAAACTCCATATTCATTATGAAAATTTTCCTTGTAAAATGGCAAGTTCATTAGAGACTTCCAAGTTAGACATCTGTAAGGGAAATAGTGATCTACTCATTCACCAAATACCTTTTACCTATGGTCCATTTGGTTACTAAATACCTTTGGGTACAGTGATAAACTTGACCAGTAAGATCCTGCTTTCAAAGAGCTCCTATTTTAGTAGGAGGGAGAGACAATTTAACAAAAAGATAATTGTTAGATAGTTGGGAAATACAAAAAATTCAAGTAGACAAATATGTTAGAATGATTAGGTCACTACTGAGGTGAGGGGGTATCTCTAAGAAGATAACGTTTAAGATTAGATATGAATCAAGAAGGGACTTTAGACATGAATCAAGAAGAAACTAGCATGTTCCAGTCAGAGGGAATAGTTGGTACAAAGGCCCGAAAGTGAGATTGAGTTTGCCTTAGTAAAGGAACCAAAGAAAGGCTTGTTGGACTGTAGCAGGCAAGGGAGGAAGTGACCTGAGGTTGGATAGGTGGGGAAGGGCTAGATCACTAGGAGTTTGGATTTTATTTTGAGTGGCATAGATTGCCATTGGAAGGTTCTAGGCAATAGAAATACTTAATCTGATAAATTTTAAAAGATACCTCTGGCTGGTATGTGGAGATTGAATAACTGCCAGGCAAGATTGGAATTGATGGCCAGGTGAGGTGGCTCACATCTGTAATCCTAGTACTCTGTGAGGCCGAGGCTGGTGGATTACCTGAGCTCACCAGTTCAAGACCAGCCTGAGCAAGAGTGAGACCCCATTTCTTAAATAAAGTACCCAGGTATTATGGTGGGCACCTGTAGTTCCAGCTACTTGGGAGGCTGAGGCAAGAGAATCACTTGAGCCTCTGAGTTTGAGATTGCTGTGAGCTGTGACACCATAGCACGCTACCAAGGGTGACAAAGTAAGACTCTGTCAAAAAAAAAAGAAAAAAAGAGATTGGAATTAAGGAAAATAATTAGGAGGCTTAACTACACACAATCATTGAGAGCAGAGATAATGGTGGCTTGCATTGCATAGAAGTAGAGTGTGAGAGATCAAGGAAGTAGACCTGTAAGAGCAGTTTCTAATAAGAGAATTGAGATTTGGAGAGACATAAAGAGCCACTTCTCCCATACTGATAATCCTAGGAAAGGAAATGGGCTGTATACGCTAATGGATCCCTTCCCATCATCTTCACTACAGGTATCATGATCCTTACCCTCAAAGACTTCTCCGTGATGCTAGACTATTACCATTGCTTGACTGGCTTCTGATTTTGGTTGGTTCTATTAACCCAGTGGTTCTCAACCTTCCTATTGCCTCAATGTATTTTCATTGTTAAAAAGGGGTCATGACCCACAGGTTGAGAACCCTTCATTGCCAGGAGAGTTGGCAGTAAGTTATCACTGAGATAGCAGCGCCAGTCTTTCTGTGCTTTCAGAATCATGATCAATCATAGAATTGATTATGTAGAAGCACCTGATTAGGTGTATCTTATTCTTGGACTTTTGAGGTATGGATGTTGCCCTCAGGTCTCTACTGTTGTCTCGTGCAGAGTTGGTAGTCAGGGCATAACGTGTGTTAAGTGAAAGAAGCCAGACACAGAAACTATGTATGATTCTATTTCTGTGAAATGCCCCACAAGGCAAATCTGTAGGAGAGAAAGTAATTAGTAGCTGCCCAGGGCTGGGCATTAAAGGAATTAACTGTAAATGGATATAGGGGGTCCTGCTGGTGTCATAAAAATGTTCTAACACTGGGTATGAAGAAGGTTGAGCAGCTTGGTTAAAATCATTGAATGCTGGATGAATGTTATGATATGTAAATT